TACACATATATATATATATATAGGGTATATATATATATATATATACATATATATATTTTGTGCAGTATTTTTAAAGATTTCTGAATATTGCAGTTACAAATGTAAATGTAATATAAATTGTAAATACTGCATATTTTTTATATTGGGATAACAATAATAATGTAATTATTAAATCGTATATTCGAAAGATACTTCAAGTTTCGAGAGCTTGCCATTCCTTAAGTTTGTGGATCCGTGCTATATACTACTATTATTTCGTAAATAAGAAAGTCACACTCAAAATAGCAGCCTTGGAAAAAGCAGAAGAAGTTCTCATTAAAACCGAAACAGCATTGGCAGATATCACAATGAAACTTCAAGAGGTAGAGGAAAGGATTGAAAAATTGCAAGATCAATTGAAAGAAGAGGAAGCAAAGAAAATTGAATTAGAAAGAGAGAAGCAGCTTTGCGAAGAACGAATAGCACGAGCTGTAAGACTAATTCTAAGCCTGTCGGATGAACAAAAACGATGGATTATTATGATAGATAATATAAAAATGTCTTTAAAGAATGCTGTCGGTGATATTCTTCTATCATCAGGTATGCAAAATTTAAAAATTGCTTCACTCGAATTATTTACATTTGTTTGCATATAAAAAGCAAGAATGCCATTCTATTAGTTTTTAAAGATAATTTTTTGCATAAAATGGTTATTATATAAAATGATTTACAAATTTATAATTTGTACATAATTAGCAAAAACCTTTTAATAGTTTCGATACATACTGCACAATAAACAATCTTTAATTTTTAATATTTAATCTAACAACAGACTATTTTAATCCAAAATTACATTTTAATTATACGAAACAGTAAACAAACAAATATTACAAATAATTAAAGCAGTCTGGTCAATAATATATACATTAATAATAACGCTAAATTGAAAATAAATAATAAATTTCTGTCAAACAAATGAAAAAAATAATATCGTCAAAATATATCATTACTGATAATTGCTTCTTTTTGAGGGACATATAAAAAATCTGTGGCTATATACAATAATTTCCAAACCGGTACGTTGAGCTACGTCGACTTCTGAAATTCTATGATTCACGTATTTTAATAGACTGATACAATTTTTTATTATATAAAAAAGTCGTAGACAATTTTGATAAATTCAATTTCCTGTCTGAAGCGGCTTCCTCTTACAGAGAATATTGACTATAATCTGATTCTGCTAGCGATGTTCGTGGCCTATTAGCGTAATGCCTTTGACAATCTTAAAATAAAATTATTTTTTTTTAATTAAAATATACTTTAGTGGTAAGTTTTATATAATTATTTATTAGATATATATATATATATATATATATATATATATATAGACCAAGTTTTATTATTATATAAGTTATATTACATATATTTTTATATTTAATATAAATAATATATGTAACAGTTAAAGATAAATAAAAAAAAAATAAAAATCGCAAAACAGAGATATAGAAGCATTTTCATAAAAATATTTTAATTAATTTTTAATTAATGAACATACTTATTTTTAATTATAACGCGATTTTTTAATTTATAATAATAATTTAATTTCTTACATCTGTAATCAACTCGATAAATATTATTCGTAGTGTCAAATATATATTTCTCATAGATTCTCTCTAATCTTAGTCCGATTGTAAATAACACAATATCTTCATACGGTTCATTGGTGACGATTGTTTACTGTTCCATTCATATGAGATTGACAAAGCTTCACATGTAGCAGCTTAATCGAGTCCGCAGTAGCTTTGTCTATTCCAGTAGTAGAACAGATTTGATTTCACACAATTCCTTTGTATCTATAGAAGCTTCCATCTTGCTTGCAGGTGCAATTGCATACCTAACACCCTTCACGGACACTTATCGCCAAAATCTCTTGGCAACCTGGTATGATGCTCTTGGTGAAGATGTTCCTCACACTTCCGGCTGCAATCCGATATTAACACTCGGCAATCAAATAGAAATAAGAAATTGGCATATGAATGGTTTACCAAAGGATACCCTACTCATCGAGAACGCGGTTCTTGTGATGAATTCCAAACGATGGCCCTTCTTCATTGACCCTCAGGCACAAGCAAATAAATGGATATGTAATATGGTAGATATTCCATAGAGAGAAAAGTAAAAATCCTTTTATTTGCATATTGTTTGCAGAATTTATATTCCATAAATTTTCTGCAGCTATTGACAAGAGACTGGAATAAAGCGTGAAATAAAAATTTGAAAGAGAAATTACATCGCGTAAAATATATAGTCATTACATATACAATATAAAAGCAAAAGAATTTATATATGGCATTCTTATTATTATAAGAATTCGAATAAACAAAATATTTTTAATTTTATTTATATGAAACATAAATTTATTAAAGCGATAATTTTCATCAGAATATTAAATTTATCCTTTACATCTGATAAAGTAGTAATGTTATCGAAAATATATAAATATATTCATTATACAAAAATTTGTGTCATAAATTTATAAAATTTGTGGAATATTATTTTATATACTTGCAT